CCTTATAACTCCTTTCTGATAGCATACAGATAATCAATTCATTCAATGTATCAATTCAGGAAAAATCAAAATTCGTACAAAAAATCAGCGGCATAACGGCAGTTTACAGAATTTATACAGAAATCACAATTTCAAAAATTTACCAAATTATCACAGAATATCCACAACAATATTATAAGACTTTCATTGTAGTGACATAACATTTTTCAAATTCCTAATAACTTACAATTCAATTAAAACGCCGCAGAAGTCAAAATATCCGGTAAAAATCTTCCAAAAAATACTCAAAACGTGCACAATTATCATCTCAAAAACATACCAAAAGTTACGCGGTAAAATATTTATAAGTGCGAAATAAAATCAATTATTCGCTAACGGAAACAAAATTCGAGACAGAAAAGTCGTCAAAATTCTCGTTTCTGAAAATTGAGAAAGGTGAAGTGTGCCTTACCTCGAGTCCATCAACTTTTCCAACTACGATGACGGGCGAAAACGAGTCGAAGTCGCTCAAAAATCCACTTTTCTTCTTCTTTCCACGGTTTTCTCTCTCCTCGGCTTGCGTTTCCTTCAAAAACGACACTATTTAGATATTTATTAAGCAGGATCTCCGGAACGATGTCTCGATTCGTCCCGGGATGATCTTCTCTGGACTCAAATCATCCAGACAAAAATAAATTCCAATTTCTTCGTCCCTGGACAAAACTCTCTGTTTGGTTCGTCCTGACGGTTCGTCTCGACCCTTTCAGGTTCAGATGAACCATACAGATTTCTTGACAATTTCTTCAGTTCGTCCCGTACTAAGGCCAGTTCGTCCGGGACTAACAGCACTAAAAAAAAAGCTTTAGAGGGGTTTTACAATCTATCCACCTTAAGAAAAATGTCGTCCTCGATATTCCCAAAGTAAACTGAGTCAAAATAAATACGGATATGACTGCCTCATGTCCGACTCCTTCTCCCAAGTCGCTTCCCGTGCTGTTCTGTGTTTCCATTGCACGTTAACCATTGGAAGTTGTTTACTTCTTAACTTGCGTACATTATAGGCCAAAATTTTCTCAGATTCTTCTTTGTACTGTAGATTCTCCTGAATCTCAACCTCATTAGTAGACACTTTCTTGTAAAAATCAGATATTCACTTTCTCAAAGAGGATATGTGAAAAACATTATGCACATCAGACATCCGATCGGATAACAATAATCTATAAGCAGACCTTCCAATCCTTTCAATAATCTCAAAAGGTCCGACATACCTTGGACCGAGTTTACTCATTCTACCAAATATGCTCACACCTTTCATCGGACTGACTTTGACATACACAAAGTCACCAACCTGAAATTCCATAAATTTGTGCTTCTGATTGTAATACTTCTATTGTATATCTTGTGCAGCTTTAAATCTTTGTATTAATCTTCATAACAGTTTCATCCACAAAAGTTGAACCCATCACTTATCTATCTTCCACCTCAGTCAGAGTCAAAGTAGTTCTACACTTCGAGCTAATACAAAGCTTCATAAGGTGCCATACCAATACTGGACTAGAAACTGTTATTATAAGCAAATTCGATCAAAGGGAGATGATATTCCTAGCTTCCTCCAAAATACAAAACACATAACCTCATAAGATCTTCCAATACTTGAATAGTCCTCTCAGAAATGCAACTTCGTACCCAAGCCTTATTGAATACCCTTCCAAAGTCTGGAAGTAAACCGTCCATCTCGATCAGATACAATCACTTTAGGCACACCATGTAATCTAACAATTTCCTTCACATATACCTGTGCCAACTTATCCACCGGATCCATCTACCTGATCGAAAGAAAGTGTGCAGACTTCGTCAATCGATCCACAATCACCCAGATGGCATCATACCCTTGCCTAGATCGAGTGAAACTCATAACAAAGTCCTTCGTTACCTCCTCCCACTTCCACTCAGGGATAGGCAACGACTGCAAAAGACCTCCTGGTCGCTGATGTTCTACCTTCACTAACTGATAGGCTTCGTATTTCACAACAAAATCTGCTACATCCTTTTTCATTTCAGGCCACCAGAATAAACTCTTCATATCTTCGTACATCTTACCACTTCCCGGATGTATCGTATAGCCTGAATGCTGAGATTCGTATAGAATCTCTTTCCTCAAATCTCCAAACACAGGAATCCATAGTCTATTCTTGTAGAAGATAACACCAGAATCAGAAACTCGTAGTTTAGGTTTTTTACCAGATTCAATCTGAGCAATCAACTTCAAATAGTTAGGATATGACTTTTGAGCTTTATGAATCCTTTCTTCCTAAGAAGACTGAACGTTCATCTGAGTCAAAACACCAGAATTCGAACCAGTAGAGGAAATCACCTCAAACTGTAATCTTTCCATATCTCGTATCAGATAGTCATCAGAAGTGAGCTGAATACATGATAATCCAGAAGACTTCCTGCTCAAAGCGTATACTACCACATTAGTCTTACCAGGCTGATACTGAATCATCAGGTCGTAGTCCTTGATCAACTCAAGCCATCTTTTTTGCCTCAAATTTAGATCCTTCTGAGTGAATATGTACTTCAAGCTCTTATGATTCGTAAAGATCTTACATCTGACGCCATAAAAGTAAGGACGCCAAATCTTCAAAGCAAAAATAACTGCAGCCAATTCCAAATCATGGGTCAGGTAATTCTTTTCATGTGGTTTCAACTGTCTCAAAGCATAGGCTATTACCCGACCATACTGCATCAGAACACAGCCCAAACCTTTCAGTGAAGCATCACTGAACACCTGAAATCCTTCCGTACTTGACGGAAGTGCTAACACCAGAGCAGATGTCAAACAATCCTTCAACCTTTGAAAACTAGCTTCACATTCCGGTGTCCAAACAAAACCTACTGACTTCTGAGTTAGTCTCGTCAGAGGCATAGAAATTTGAAAAAAATTCCTTCACAAATTTCCTATAATATCCAGCCATACCTAAGAAATTACATACCTCTAATACCGTTGTTGACCTCCTTTTTGACATCGGCCATTTGCACATTCTTAGTTTTTTTTTTTGTATTTCGTAGCTCGATTCATCTACTTGTATGTTGCACCACTGTGTTGATGAAAGGTCACCTTGCGTATGCTACACCGGCTCGTCGTCAGAGGCGTAGAAATCTGAGAAAATTCCTTCACAAATTTTCTATAATATCCAGCCATGCCTAAGAAACTACGTACCTCAAATACCGTAGTAGGCCTTGGACAATCAGCAACAGTTTGAATCTTCTGGGGATCAACAGAAATACCTTCACCGCTCACCACATGCCCCCAAAAAGAAATCTTCTTCAGCCAGAATTCACACTTGGAAAATTTAGCATATAACTTATACTGCCTCAAAGTCTCCAACAGAATGCTCAAGTGTATAGCATGATCTTCCTCAGAAGCAGAATACACCAGAATATCATCGATGAAGACGATCACAAACTGATCTAGATACTCCTTGAACCACTCTGTTCATCAGATTCATGAAAACAGCAGGTGCATTGGTTACCCTAAAATGTATAACTAAAAACTCGTAGTGCCCGTACCGAGTACTGAAAGCTATCTTCAATACATCAGCTTCCTTCACCTTCACCAGATAGTATTCAGATCTCAAATCAATCTTTGAAAATATAGAAGAACCAGAAAGCTGATCAAACAAGTCATCAATCAGTGGTAATGGATACTTGTTCTTGATTGTAACTTTATTCAAATCTCTGTAATCAACACACATACGGAGTATTCCGTCCTTCTTCTTCATAAACAGTACAGGTGCTCCCCAAGGAGAAATACTAGGACGAATAAATCCTCTATCCACCAACTCTTGAAGCTGAACTTTCAACTCAGAAAGTTCTTTTGGTACCATCATGTACAGAGCTTTTGATATTGGAGCTGTACCCGGAAAAATATCAATAGAGAACTCAACATCTCGATTCAGAGGTAAACCAACCAACTCCTCAGGAAATACATCATAAAACTCCTGTACAACCGGTATATCAGAAATAGAACCCATATCTATGTTCATATCCCGTTTAGAAGCCAAAAATACCTGGCAACCCTTCTTCCACATTCTTCTGACTTCCAACATAGAAATCAAATAGGATAGAACACCTCGTAATCCTTGAAATACACATCTCTCACCATCCATAAGCAAGCTCACTTGCTTCTTCAAATAGTCAATCTGAGCCTCATATAGACTCAGCCAATCCATACCCAAGATCACGTCGTAAGAAGAAATCAGCAACAAAATCAAACTCGATATCCATTTCTTGCCAGAAATATCAATCTCACAAAAACAAAACTTCCGGGCGATCAAATTGCTTACAACCGGCAAAATAACAAAAAGCAAAACCGGTAAAGTTATAGAATCCAAATGCAAAATGTCGAAGCAACCCTCAGAAATAAAGGAATGACTCGCTCCAGAATCAAACAAAACACGACAGGGGTGTTCAGAAACATAAATCATACATATCACCACATATGGAGCATCTCGAGCCTTCCGCTGACTCAAACTGTACACACGTGACTGAACTGGCGCTGAAGCTACTGAACTACTAGGCTCCCTATGACTACCAGTAGGTGGTCTCCGTGCCACGGAACTCGAACTACCACCTCTACCAGAGGATCCTTCAGTCACAGTGCGTGGAGGAACAGTCCTCAGCCTTCCTGCTAAATTGATAGGTCTAACAAAGCTATCAGATCGAAACTCAAATCGTTGATCAAATCCAGCCTATGGACACTATGCAATCCGATGTCCTGGCTGACCACATCTGAAGCACTGACCAGTCATCTTGTAGCACTGGCCAAAATGTTTTCGTCCACAACTTTGACACACTGGTGCCACACTGACAAATCCAGAACTGGTCGTACTGTCACTACAAAAAACTGTAGTGGATCCCGACTGTCCACTCCTCCTAGAGTCTCCAGAAACAAATCTCCTCTTGCTAGAGGAACCACTACTAGAAGCATCACACCCGAACCTCTTCCTACTCGCAGTTCACTGCTGTTGTGTTGTCATCAAATCGTTCTCTATCAGACGAGCTCTCTTTACAAGCTCAGAGAAATCAGAAATATGAAACGGTGCTAGGGGCTGCCTCAGACTATCTCGTAGTCCCCTCAGAAATATATAGCACTTCTCAGCAGAAGTACTTACTAACTGCGAAGCATATCGGGCTAAAGCAGCAAAATCTGCCTCGTACTGCATCACAGTCCTGCTCCCCTGAACTAGCCTTAGAAAAGTCTCCTGCATCTGTTGTCTTGTAGAAGGAGGTACAAACCACGATCGAAATACCTCAAAAAACTCTTCCCAAGAAATCAGAGAGTTTAGCTTTCCTTGGAACTTTTCCTCCTGCTGGCCCATCCACCAGCGCTTAGCCTCGTCATCCAACAGAAAAACTGCTAACGGTACCTTCCTGTCCGATGAACACTGCATACTATCAAAAGTCTTCTCTAATCTTCTCAGCCACTCTTCTGCTGCTCTGGGCTTAACAGTGCCCTCAAACCTCGGAGGTTTCAATCTCAAAAACATCTGTATATGTCTATCCACATCCTCAGATCGAATTGTAGAGACTCTACTCTGAGTCTCGCACATCATCTGAGCAACCAATGTAGCAAACTGAGAAAGTGTATCAGAACCAACCACTGGGGCAGTACTACTCATCGGAGATGCCTGACTAGCACTCTGCCCATCAGTCATATCTGGGTCTGGCAGATTCATAATCACACAAAAAACTAGGCATAAAACAACACAATAAAAATCCAGACAAACCAGAACTACCCCGACAGACTTACAGATCAATTCCTATAGCTCTGTCATATAATCTAAATTCCAAAACCATTGCTCTGATATCACTAAAGTTTGTCACGACCCAACCCGACCGGGACGGATCCCGCTCGCATCGGGTCGCGATGGAACTGTTAAAAATCCAGGATCTAGCTTTGAAATTTGCTTCAGAATTTTCTTCCAAATATTAAATAGACAGAAAAACACAGAGCTACTATAAATATCCAAATATAGAACAGTTCATCTATCTTTTCTTTAATCAAAACAATTATATGCAATACAATTCATGGCTTCGGACAGAAATAGCAGAACAGAACAGAAAAGCTATGACTGCACCAAAAATCAAAAGTACAAAATATCTAATCTCAGATCAGACAAAAAACTTTTAGTCCAATACCTCCTTCCCTTTTTCCCAGAACCTGAAAACTACGCAGAAAATAAGGATGAGCTAACAGCTCAGCAAGACATCACTCACCAATCAAAATAGTCAGAAATTAACATCAGAAAATATATCAGAAAATAGCCGTACGGAAATCATAGAACCGACAGAACAGATACTTGATTAACATAAATCAAACAACTGATACAAAAAACTGAAGCCATTTCAAATCAGATATCATAAGGCTTTCAATTCACAGAGCAGAAAAAATCATACAATTCATAAAACAGATCAGATAAATCACATAACAGATTATCAGATATCAAACATCAGATTCCCTGACCCTAACAGAATCTCAACGAATTCTGACCCCTTATGCCTTCCTTCCCTGACACAGACATAATCTCGACGTATTCTGGCCCCTTATGTCTCCCGTTGTGCTTATAGCACCAGAATAGAATATATATTCGAAATTCCAGAACAGACAGATTTCAGAGCTCATTTCATATTTTCAAATTTCCCGGACCCAGACATCGGAATCACAAAGGATTCCGGCCTCTTATAACTCCCTTTTGATAGCATACAAATAATCAATTCATTTAATGTATCAATTTAGGAAAAATCAAAATTTGTACAAAAAATCAACGGCATAACGGCAATATACAGAATTTATATAGAAATCATAATTTCAGAAATTTACCAAATTATCACAGAATATCCACAACAACATTATAAGACTTTCATTATACTTACATAACATTTTTCAAGATCCTGATAACTTGTAATTCAATTAAAACATCGCAGAAGTCAAAATATCCGATAAAAATCTTCCAGAAAATACTCAAAACGTACACAATTATCATCTCAGAAACATACCAAAAGTTATGCGGTAAAACATTTATCAGTGCGAAATAAAATCAATTATTCGCTAACGGAAACAAAATTCGAGACAGAAAAGTCATCAAAATTCTCATTTCTGAAAATTGAGAAAGGCAGAATGTGCCTTACCTTGAGTCGATCAACTTTTTTGACTACGGTGACGGATGAAAATTTGTCGAAGTCACTCAAAAATCCAATTTTCTTCTTTTTTCCGGCTTGCATTTCCTTCAAAAATGACACTATTCAGATATTTATTAAGCAGGATCGTCCCGGACGATGTCCCGATTCGTCCCGGGATGATCTTCTCTGGACTCAAATCGTCCAGACGAAAATAAATTTCACTTTCTTCGTCCCTAAACGTTTGGTTCGTCCCGACCCTTCCAGGTTCGTCCAGACGAACCATACAGATTTCTTCACAATTTCTTCAGTTCGTCCCGTACTAAGGCCAGTTCGTCCGGGACTAACAGCACTAAAAAAAACAGCTTTAGAGGGGTTTTACAGTCATACCTTCCTCTTCATCAATGTTATGATGAGATGATTTGCAGAGATGCAATGTTTAGATCAACTTCATCCCTCATGAAACTATTGAACATCCAATCACTCAGCATTATAATTATAACATATAAAGCATGATAAACATGATAAATGAAAGAAATGTAGGGACACTTACTGCATATGTCCATTGATATCTTAAATATCAGTATGACTGATTAGGCAACCTTCAGGCATATCAAGTAAGTTATGGGATTGCATCATTCAGACGTTTATATTTTCAACAATCCTCATATCAGTGTTTGATGTCTCAACTTCAATACACAAAAAAAGCATTTCTCTAAATGAATGATCCAATATATACAACTATTTACCCGTAACCGACAAAATAAAAAAAATCTCACCTTCCCTCATCCCGCACGTCGTGGCCACATCGTCTTGCACGTCGAAGCCATTCCAACGCCGTTTCATCGCACGACTCCTCACGATCCTACTTCAGCCTCTCATGATCTCTCTCTCTCTCTCTCTCTCTCTCTCTCTCTCTTGATATCCAAGTGCGACGAGGCGGGTAAGCCCTATACACCCTCTTGTAGCATGGTGGGGACAGTCCTCGACCTCGCCATCGACATTGCTGACGACTGCTACACAAGGTATGATGTTCTAAAATCCCATTCTCGACGTTTGCGACGGATCGGGGAACCACCTATTTGTGCTCTAGTAGCACGGTAGGAGGAAACCTGGTGTGACACATACTATGAGGTGGGTAAGCCCTATACACGCTCTTGTAGCGTGGTGGGGAGAGTCACTGGTGTTCTGGTACGGGTACTGTTGAAGGCCCCATACACGCTCTTGTAGCGTGGTGGGATGAAAAGTGTACGGCCGTGGTGTCCAAGGACACCTACCATACACGCTCGGTAGCATGGTGGGAAGGCCCAGCTACTCTACTTTCCCCCAAATGGGGGATATGCCGGGGTGCTGCCAAAATTTTCATTGAAGTACACAAAGGCTGAACAATAAGAAGACCTCATTATTGACATCATTATTCGAGGTCGATTTCCCCAGAATCAACTCTAGCACCTAAGTCTTCGTAGCCTAGAATAGACGTCACCCGCAGGATTTCCCTTAGGTGGATACCTAATGACGTAGCATGGACTCGATCTTTTAATTCGGCCTAAATCAGTTCGCATGACTAAATCAAATTCAAATCATTGTAAATGAGATAATTAATATTTCAAAGTTATTTCTATTTTAAAATTAACTCAAAATATATATTTTAAATTATCAATTATTTTATAATTAGTCTCTAAATTAATTTGAATTATTAACTAACTCTTGATTTCATTTTAAGTTATGATTAATCTAAGCCATCAAATTATTTTGAAATAAGATTTAGGTGCATTTTAGGGCCCGACCAACCCAGCCCGTCTCTTTACTCTTCTTGGCAAGAACCGAACCTCCTCCTAGACCCATCTCTCATGAAATCGAAAACCCATGATCCCTTTCTCATTCGCAAACTGCTCCCTCTCCCTCACGATTTTCTCGGTAGTTCAAAAAGGATCCCGCTCGTTTCTCTCTTCCAGTTCATGAACGAAGCCCAGGTCTCCCACGATTCTCTCCATTTTTGCAAAAGTCGAACACCCAACCCTTCCATTTCTTTTCAGTTTTTCGGAAATCCCCCAGACGGAACCGTCGCCAACAATTCACGAACTGCCCCGATTCTGTATCTTTAAGTTCTGAACTGCTCCCATTCTCTCATTAGGAGATACAACACAAAACTCACATTCCCTCACCGTCACTCTCTCCCTCCAAGGCGGAAGAAATCCCCAGCCCGTTTCTTCTCTGTAATTCATACAGCCCGTCGCCCTCTCTCTGATTCGTAGAAACGAAGCCCCTTTGCCTCTATCTCCTTCCAGTTCGAGAAGTCCCCCATCTCGTCGCCTCTCTGCTTCGCACAGGACCAGACCGAATCTCCTCCCTATCGCTTGCCCTAGTCCCTTCCCTGCGCTTGTTTCTCTCGCTCTCTCGTGACGAACCCAGGCTCCAATTGGTGAAATTCCCCTTTCTTCCCAGGCTCCAAATTCACAAGAAGCCTAAAGCCGATCCCCCATATATCTACGACGACAGCCGGATCGCGATCTCCTACGGCGTGCGGGATTTTAACTAGGCCAGTTCGCAGTAATTGATATAAAGTCGAAATATTCTCTTTTATTTTACTGTTTCCATAGAAATATAGAATGACAAAGGTTTATCATTGATTTCTTTACCTCTTTCATGAAATTATTGCTTTGTCCCAATTGCGATTAAGTTCAAATGACTGCCATTCATTCTTATTTCTAGGACTCTAATGTATTTTGTATAAAAATCTGAAGTTTTCTATGGGATGATGACATACATTGCTTCCCCAATGATGGTGCATTGTAGATTCGTTCATTTGTAGATACTTTTGTTCTTAATACAAATAACCTTGAGTTTATAAGTTTAGTGGATGCATTGTTCTATTTGAATTACTTTAGTAGTCATATTGAAAAGCTTGTATGCGTAAAAATGATTCAATTATTTTATATATTTGTGATGGTGAAGGGTTAGAGAAGTTTTTTTAGATGGGTTATAGGCATTGAAGTATAAAAATCACTACATGGCAAGCATTCTCGTATCATTTTTGAAGTGTTTTGAAGAAGAGTTGGAGAATTTTCAAGTGCTTCAAATATAAGTTTTATTATAGACCCAAACATGATATTACTTTGTAATTGTCAGAATACTTGCTTGAATTTTAAAAAGAGTAAAGTTTTATCAGATCTTCTATTTCTTTTAAATTACATATAGTGAAAATTTTGAGTTGGAAAGGTGAACTTTGCATTGTTTTGCTTAAATAAAATGGGTGTTTTTGAAATGTAAAACGTCTTGAAAAGAGTATATATTGAATGGCGAAATGTATGAGCTTTGAATAGTGAAAAGTATAATTTTGGAGAGGTGACATATGGAAACTTTGGGAAAATGAAATGTGTATGAGAAGAGTAAAATGTATGGTTTTGTAGGAAGTGTGTGTAGTTTGAGAAGTGATTTTTGTGGTTTTAAAAAGTGAAAAGTGAAATGAGTTTTATATTCAAGTTTGAAAAATGAAAGTGGGATAAGATGTGTGTGAAATAGCTTGTAGATTTTTGAA